GGGGGCAGAGAAGGAGGGGGAGGGAAGGCTGGGGGGGGGCTGGCGCAGGCGATTTTGGATACGTTTCCTGTCATCCAGTTTCATCGTGGCGGCGGCGCTGGAGATAGGGGCGGGGAAGGGGAAAGGGAAAGGGAAGAAAGAGCAGGAGAAGGGGAAGGGGAAGGGAGGAAAAAGGTGGATGATGAAGAGTCTGTGGCTATGCGCCAGCTGGATAGAGACGATTCGAAAGTCGGATTTGTCGCGGAACAGTATAACCCGGCAGAATCGAAAATCGAGCATGACAATCCTTTCCACCCTATCATTACCGACGATAACTCTATATCCCTCTCCACTCTTCCCATCGCAGCGTCATCGAGCACCACAGGTTTCCAAACACCGCCGCACGATACCTCCACCTCCATCTTGGACTCCGCGGCCGCGGCGGCGGCGGTAGGAGGAGAGGGAGGAGAGGGAAAGGGTGAAAAGGAGGAAGAGCAGCACTGCCCGATCTGCCTGGTGGAGTTTGAAGATGGCGATGATCTACGGGTTTTACCGTGTGAGAGGACGCATATGTATCATAGGGGGTGTATTGATCCTTGGTGCGTTTCTTTCTTTCTTTCTTTCTTTCTTTCTTTCTTTCTTTCTTTCTGTCGTTGCCGTCTTGCCCTCTCTTACCCTCTCTTACCCTCTCTTTCCCTCTCTTTCCCTCTCTTTTCCTCTCTTTCTCTCTCTTTCCCTCTCTTTTCCTCTCTTTCTCTCTCTACCTTACTTCCTTTTTTTTTCTCTTTCGTATGACGTATGTGGGGTATGATTGCTGACGATAAGGCAGGCTGTTGCGAGTATCAGCGAGTTGTCCGCTATGTCGAAAAGGTACGTCAACCCTCTCTCTCTCTCTCTCTCTCTCTCTCTTCACGTTTCCTTTTCTCGACAATGCTGATATTACTTTCGGTAGATTTCAACAACCCCTCATCACCCTCCGGTACACCAACACCTACCACACCTTCTTTCCCCATCTCCAACCGCATCCCCTCCCTTCCGGACTCTGACTCGGGAGCAGGAGCAGGAGCAGGAGCAGGAGGCGATGAACCGCCGACACAACACGGGTTCGCGCGATATCTCGCCTTCATGCGTCGTTCTCGGCGGCGGCAGCGGCAGGATTCGTCGACTTTTTTCTTTGAGAACCAGAACCAGAGCGGGGTTGGGCGTGAAGGGATAGGGATGAGTCCGAGTCCACCGTCGGCGAGGCAGCAGAGGAGAGAACGAGAACGAGCGCGGGAGAGGACGGCCAGTGGGCTTAGTTTTGGGAGTCATAATAATAATAATAGTGGGGTTGGAGCAGGGAGGAGGAGGGAGGCGGACCAGAATGGCCCGGGGGGCTATTGAGATGCTTTGTCTTTTTTCTACTCTTCTGCCTGGGCTGGTTGGGAGAAAGAGCGGAGATTGTGTGGGCGGGTTTGGGTTTGATTGTCTTTGATGGTTGTATATTTATGCTCTTTTGCTTTTTTCTTCTTTGTGTTTTAAAGGTTGCTTTCCGTTTGACGATTACGATTACTTTACGTTCTAGCATTTTTTTTTTATTGTTTCTGGTATATCTTCTTTCTTCATCCATGGCACGATCTCTCTAGTTGGTCAATACGGACTATTTACGAGTGGCATGATAGTGGGTACATGAACGACTACTGCACTCTCAACCTCAGACTAGACTGGTGCCGTCGGGAAGAGCACGGTATGATACGTATTCAGCTCCGTATCCTGCCATGGGAAAGCGTTTTTCCAGGTCAGACGTCCCTCCTCTCTCGACTCTCGTAGACCATAAAAGGGAGGTAGCCGCAAAAGTACACGGTCGCGACACGACGACTACTCGTGCTGTCCTTTCATGGAATGCCCTGTCTGAGATTGCGGGCCGTATTGAGAGTCCGTTGGTCTTCTCACGAGACATCTTGTGAAATCTCTTCAACGAACAATCTACTATTCGCTCCCTCCTCCTCAGCACCACCACCACGAGGACGATAAACAATCCTCCAAATCCGAAATGACAAGCATGAGCTCTTCTCGTTCCGAGTTTCGAGAGGACGATTATTCTGTGGCGTCGGAAAGCTTTTGGTCCGATTCCAAGGTGAGTCATCCCTCAACCCACTTTTAATACAGCCTCCTGACGTGAACTCTGGTAGGCCTCTCGTATTTATTCCGATGACGACGACGAGACAGTCTACTGCAATCCATCCAACAAACGTAGACAAAGTTCAGATAGCACAAACGTGCAAGAAGAGGAGGCAACATGCAGTGCACCTTTGACGACGGTGGATACGAACAGGAGAGTGAAAAGAACAAGGCAGAGGCATTTCAAGCCAGGAGATACGGTCGATATGGACGGTAAGCGAGACTGCTATCAATAGTGGAGAGTGTACTGGGAGGCTGACACCATCTTTGTCGTTTTTCGTACCCTAGACCCCGAAGCTGTGGCCAGAATGAAAAGTGAGTAGCACTCTGACTAGCCCTAATATATGCGTTATGAAGCTGACAGGAGGCTTTATGCAGATAGGGAGAGGCAGAAGGTACAGGGCGAGAGGAAAAAGACGATACAGAGCAGGATCAATCACCTTACCGGAAAAGATCCTGATTTCGAGTTTAATATGCTACGAACAACAGGCATCAGAGTACTTCGGAGACGTCTACAAGCTATAGAGAATCCGCAACCGTCCCAATACCCTCTCCTACCAGTAGACGGAAGGAGTAACATTAGTACGACTAACGAACCGGAGGAGGAACAACAAAAGGGAGATGCGGGAATGCTAGACGGAGAAGTGGGACGAGAATATGACTCAGTTTGGGGTGAGAATGAGATTGACGAGGCATCAGCTTGGTGGTCACAGAGCTTTGGTGGCACTGCTGAAAGCTGGATAGGGTTCCAGGATTACGGCACTGCTATGTTCCAGCAGCAGGACAGCGTTGTGACTTATTCTGACGAATTCCATTGGGATCTTCTAAACAATGAGCATGGTGGTTGGCCGACTTCACGGTATGCATAGTGCTTGTATACATTGCATGCGGAGAGATGGCGTCGATGTACCAATCCCTTACACCGCCTTCGACGCTCGAGCCTCTCCCTATTCCGAGATCAGTTCCGTTTTCTGTTGTTCTTCTTTGTCGCTTTCCGCCTCTGTCTTCCGTGTGATATATTTGTTTGCTTCTTCCTTATCATTTGTCTGTCCTTTTCTTATACATAGGAATGGCGTGCCACGGCATCACCCGTATTCGATAGCTTTTGCGATGTATAAAAGGCTCGGCGGGAGGAGACTTTCTCTCCTCGCTGCGCCTCCTACCTCCCTCTCCTTTGACCATATCACTTTCCTCTCCAATCCATCGCACAGCTGCTACCAATCGCTTTACTCATACTTGATCCCTCAAACTATACTATTGGCCATATATCTTAATCTTTATTGACCGTAAGTCCGAATTTTATCATCGAAGCTGCAGTCACTCAATACGAGCTCTTACAGAAGTAGTAATAACTGTATTATGCTGATCCATTCTCACAATATTTTGTGACATGATGTGAATTGAGACTTTCCACTACGGCAATACTATCAGAATCTCCCTCAAAAGGACGTAAATTATGTGAGTTATAAGTGTCAACATCTCGGCTGCACTTGAACTTGCATTGGACTTTCACATTCCTTGTGAATACTCCCCCTTTGTTTGCACAATGAAGTATTCGTCTACATATACTCGTTTATCTGACAAACATTGAGCTCGGCATTCTCATCGTACGAGTACACAGCGCAAGATGTCAGACACCTTCAACCCCACCGACTATGCCACCTACCCAGGTTCCCAGGTTGGTCTTGGTTGTATAGCTTAACGCTATCTGGTAAAGAGGTGCTGATACTGATCACATTGCAATCAGGTTCCAAACGTGACTGGGAACTGGGAAGCTGATTATCTCATGTTCCAAGCAACAGAGTCTCAGGCAGCAGGGGAGGGAGGTTCTACCGCTGTATCTTCTGCTGCCGACGATGGGGACGAGTTTGAGACCTACGAGGATTTCGTTGAAGACGCTACAACTGCTAGCTCATCAAAAGCAAAGAAGGCGAGAAGGTTGGAGCAACGTAAGTGCTATCACCTAACATAGGCACTTTTGCTGACAGGACATCATCTTACCAGTCGGGAAGAAGAAAACTGAAGATCTGCGATCGAAACGTGGGTTGTCTTGCGAATTGAACGATAAACATTTCCAAGGCTTAAGCATCGCTCTGTCGTTTCCACCGCAGACCGCCGTGCCAGCTCGAAAGCCACATTGGAGAAGAAAACGCTACTTGGCGAGATTAACAGGCGCACTGGAGGGTCAATCAAGCTCAACCAAGTAACATCAGTCAAAGCTCTGCGTGACCAACTTGCTTGGCTGGATAATGCCGAAACGGAGCTGGCAGCGAGGGTAGGTGGTCTATCTGTCGGAGACAGTAATGCTACTTTCAGCCACCCACCGGGGAGCTCTTGGGTAGCAGAATGGAGCTCTTATCCTCCGCAATGGTTCGACAACAACTCAAATCAAGAGAGTGCTGATCCACCTCCCGAAGATGACAGACTGTAGATACCGGGAATTTGGACGTCTTACTTAGGATTTGTGGTCCGTGCAGACGTGCGTGCAGTTATGTATCTTCCGGGACATTCTGTCATGCAATCTGAATGCCAATAACCCATCATCACATAGGAAATTAAAGTTCAATGCAGAAACTGGCTCTGGTGTCAAAGAGAGTAAGCGACTTTTACGCATCCGTTGGTTGGGCAAGTGATCGATCCTCTGCAATGATGTGTAAGCAGCGCAAATAGGGAGAATGATGTCTTCGTAGAGGACAAGGCATTGCCCGCTGTCAGCGTCCATTTACACAGTTCTCGTACAACGTTCACTCCGCATGTCACTAGTCTCCATTCAAGTACGAGTACAGTAATGATGCCGTGATATAATGATACGCTCATTCTCATTCCAAGCTATGCATTATGTGCACAGTTCTCATATCAATAGAGTTTTATGTACTGACTTGGGAACATATGCCAATCACTCTGCATTTCTCAGACTACCTTTGTGATTATTAGGGCCTTTGTGACACAGCTGGGATACGAAGACACGGTAGGCTGCAATCAACTAACAAAGACTCGCCTGCTCTTGTGTATTCCCATTCTCACACAATTTTTTTCATTTTCATTATACTTCACACTGTAGCCGCATATATATATGTACACCGTATCATTCGACATCAAACCCAACACGCGCTACATAGCCATACACAGATCACAATGTCAGACGGATACACCAACAGCGCCCAGTCACACAGATTTTACCCAGGTACCCAGGTAAATCTCCAGATTTGGGTCCTGCTGGATACTGAAGGATACTGACATTTGATCAATTTTTTGTACATTCCAGGTCCCCAATGTGAGTGGTGATTGGGATTCCGATCTCTATATCCATCAAGCAACTTTTGGAACAGAGGCCCGGTATGGGCCATTGGAAGAAGATGAGCCCGCTCAGCCTGAAAGCTCAGCACAAGGAAGTAAGGAGTCACGATCGAGAGGCAAAAATGGTATGTCATCACACTCGTTTAAAGTATGACCTTCCTAGAGCTTACCAAACACCGCAACCCAGTCTCAGGCGATTCCGGGAAGAAGCACAAACAGACCCGAGCTGAGAAGAGTGAGTCGTTTCTCAATGACAGTCACTACTCGTATATAGCATACATTTTGCGCGAGGCTCATCCAAGGTGATGTTTGTGACGGCTATTGAAACGACAGGCAGGCAGGCCACTGCCAACCAAAATCAAGAAAAGCAACAGCTCCTTGATGAGATCAACCGGCGCACTGGAGGATCCTGGGCGCTGACTCGAAACATGCATCTACAGGATCTACGCAATCAGTTGGACTTCCTCAAGCAAGCAGAAGAGCAAAAGATGGAGAGAATCCGCACTGGAGCTGATGCGACATACAGTGTCCCGTCTAGTGATTCTTGGGTCAATGAGTTTCATTCCTATCCTCCACAATGGTTCACCAACAATTCAAATCAAGAAGGCACATTTCCTCCTCTTGATGACGAGGATAAGCTGTAGACATGTATATGCGGATAGATATACCGAGAAGCCTCGCTGATCATGAGATGATGCATGCGTTGATGCATGAGGACAGTCGCTCACCCTATATATTATGTGAAAAAATGTTATGTATGGAAATCTGCCTCTAAAAACAGTCTTTTAGAGCTTGATAGTCTTCCTGAGCTGGATCAGACCCCGAACAGTGTCGAAGTCCATAGTGTAAGGAAAGAAGTAAAGCTGAACGTGTCCAAAGACGCTCGTCATCACTCGAAGTCCTTAGAAGGTTCTTCATCATATGAGCCCCTTTGGTCCTCATCACCATTTTACTAACACTATCGGAGCTGATAACGATACACTATCTCTAAACAGATATCTCACCGTCTCCAGCAATCTTTGTCTCAGTAGTCAAGAGAGGACAAGACAATCCGACTTCACCTGCAAAATCACTCAAAAGGGACCTCTCTGATTTGTTGCTGATGCTTGACTCTTGCATGGCCCTCTTAGGCTTACGTGTCGGTAGTAGAATTGGAATCATGGGCCGTTCAATGTGGAGCTGCGTTGTCAAAAGAGGGATGGCGCCGCAGGTCGTTCACATCATAACATCGGTCTCTCCATTTCGTCCCCCTCCGGTCTCCGTATTCAATACTTTCCTGAACAATCAGAAGTCTCCTGATTCTCATGCCCATCCAACACCTGTGAAGTCATACCTCGGAATCGTAATATCTTACAACCCGTACTTGTTGAGCTTGCCGCTCTTTCCCACATTACATCTCCCCTTTGTTTCCTGATGACGAGATTTGCGTATCATATAGACCTGACCATTGGGAAATGTGGTTTACTCGTCACTGACAGGTATCATAACACACAATGTCAGACTTTAACACCAACTACGCCCAGTCTGTCAACTACGAGGGCACCGATGTCAGTCTTCAGCGTCAGCTTGCGGTAAACAGTACACGAGCGCTGACACAACGCACAACACATACAGGTTCCTAATTTGACAGGAAACTTTCAATCCGACTCCCTGATGCACGATGCAAGCATCGAGACAGAATCAGGCCCTCAGCAGGCAGGTGAAGAAGACTCTTGATTAGTACTGGATTTGACTTTGCCGCGTAGGACGAAATTCCTGAGGCTGGCAGCTCATCGAAGGCAAGGTTACAAAATGAACGGCGTACGTGCAAAACCCTCCATCCTATCACAATTACCATCGCTAAACTAACAATCATCGAACAGAATGGCGGGAGAACGAGAAGGGTAACAGAAGAGCTAGAAGTAAGTCCTGACATGCCAAACAGTATAGAATCAGAATTCGTGTAGTATACTGATGATTGTACGACAGATAAACGAGCCCAGGACCAAGCAGATGAAGATAAGAAGCAAATGGTCGAGGAGATCAATAGGCGCACGGGAGGAGCCTGGACAGTCAATCGCAAGACGACTGTTGTGGCACTGCGCAACCAGATAGCCTGGCTGGATGATGCGGATAGAAGAGCTGAGCAACAGGCAACGAATATGGCCACCAGTCCCTCGGACGCTGAGGAACAGGCCACTTACAGCCTCCCGCCATCCGAGTCGTGGATGGACAAGTGGAATTCTTATCCCCCTGAATGGTTTACCAACAACACAAACCAAGATTGCGAAACCTATCCTTCAGATGATGATGATAGACTGTAACTATGTGACATTCTTGAATGCCAGAGTATGCATGCAGACAGTAAAGTCAGTAGAATAATGCTGCTGTAGCGCGCCTGCCGCCACACTCCATAAGCTGCCACACCTTGTAACCAATAGACCTTTTCTTTGCCGTAGTTTTCTCCTGCTTTCTCGCTTATAGCTCCCAATGCATATAAGACCGAGGCTTGGGGGAATTTCCTCCTTCATACTCTTTATCTTTACCTTTCCAACTCCTACTACGTCGAGCTACCTCTGCTAGATCGTATACGCATATCATATCACAGTCTCTACGAACTAATCGCAAGCCTCCAACAACCGAGCGCACTCGAAACATCGTATTCGGTTGACTTGTGCCTATCGAGCTCCTCTGGAGCTTCTTGGGACGGTCTAACCCTCTACAGCTGCTGAGAGCATTCGTTCTTCACCTCCATCTCTTCCAAGTCACTAGAAAACATCTGAGAAGGGCCGGGCGCCTCGTGCGGTACGAGTACGGTATAGCAGCCGAAGGTCGTCGATTCCGTAGTCGTCTTGCTATCTGTTTACAGTTGCCAGTCCTATGAATGTTCTTGAACGGACTGTGTACTGGCTATCACTTATACAGTACTCGCACTCAATGTGAAACACACAATAGTACTTGTTATCAAGATAAGTGACCGCCGACCAAGCCTGAGCTAAATGAAACGCGTGCGGCGTGAGCTATCAAAGAGGAGATGCTTGCAGACTGGCTCTTTCCCCTATCTACTACATCCATGTATGTATATATCGTACTGCAGATCTATCATCAGACCTCCTCGCGAGCTCAATAAAGAACACACATCGCCGGAAACGACATTGACGACCATCGTTCCGGCAACCTCGGCCTCTTCACAAGAAGCCACCACCCACTCATCGATCCACCTACGAACATATCAATTCCCACATCACCAGCTCCCCCATCTTGCCCCATCCACCGTCCCACTTATACTCAGCCTTCTCCCTCGTCAATCTTTCATCTCCCATCAAAACAACCCACGAGCTGCCATTCTCGGTCCTCGGCATATTCGGCTATTAAATATACCGACATTTGAGCGCATGGGCCGGCAAAAAAGAAGCCTAGAGAAGCACGCCCCTGGCGCGTGGTTGTGACTCGTGGTTTGGAGTGTGTGTGCAGCGTGATTTGACGGAGAATGTTCCTCTGGAGATGGGAGATGGGAGATGGGAGATGGGAGATGAGAGGAGTGGGGGCAAAGATCGGAAACATTCAGATTTTGTTCTGGCATGATTCGCGGACGCTTGTACGTATGTAAAGACTCCAAAGGGGCAAAGGAAACAGCATGTAGTGGGCCTGGATCTTTCGGAGAAGTGAGGGATCGACTGATGGGATGCAGAGAAGCGGTGAAGGGGGTTAGATCCCCCTTTGGCACGCGCCGAGGAGAGAGGGGCAAAGTGAGACAAGTTCGGGATGATGGAGGGGAACGCGTCGCGTCGTGCGTTTCATACTTTCATTCCTTTCTGGGCGTCTATCAAATTGAGGGAGCTGGATGAGGCTAGTACATGCCTCGGGTGGAAGGTGGGGCAGGTAATGTGGTTCGGTCGCGACAAATCCCTGACCAGATCGGACTACTTGGCGAGTGCCTGCTCTTCTCCTTCTTGTTCCCTGTTCCATGTCCAGTATTTCAAGTGTTCTCAGACTAGCCTTACCAGTCGTCGAAGTGAGACGCAGCCTCGCATTATTTGTAGGCCGGGACCACCCGGAAGCCTCGGGAGTTGTCCAGCAGCCAGCGGCGTCTTGCTGCCTGTTGCCTCGAGGCGTTACATCGCACTGTCCATTCGTTGCTTCATATGCTTGACAACTGACACTGGTTTGTCTTTAGAGCCTCCATCTCCGCCAAAAGTCAGCGAGACGACCAAAAGTGAATGCCACAAATTTTATCTGCCAAGAGGGTGTTTTCGGGATAGTCGAGCCCGGTGCAGACGAAACAGGGCAGGGACAGGTACGCCAACGCAATACACAGCGAGCCAAACACCGCACGGCCTTGAGTCACGGAAAGGGTGGTCGGAAGAAGATATGTACATACGTACCTCCATGCATGCGAGAGAGGCGGCCTGCTGGGTTTGGTCAGCGTTGTCTTGATCCCCACAAGCATCAGCTGGCGCCACCGCTCACCCCACCCCGACTGTGACCCGGCATTCGTATGCGTCGCAGAATGTCGCTGTTCGGATGCCGACCCTGTCCCCACCCCCTTTGCGCAAAACGGGGGTGATCGATGTGACGCAGCACCGACACGAGGCACAGCTGCCTGCTTATTCTATCCGTCCTCGCTTTTATGTACTCACCGCAAACAACAGATCCCCGCCATACACCAACACACCACAGCCTCTCTTCTTTTTTTTTCCTTTCAGACCCCTCTCACACCCCCGAGATCCACTCAGAAAGGGTGAGTCTTGTGTTCCGAGTTGACTGTAAGGGTGGCGCTGACGTAGACGTAGATCCCCTTCAACAAACCCTCAACCCCGCCCAAGAGATATAACAATGAAGTCTCCCTTTCCAGCTTCCTTCTTTCGCAAACGCTCCCATCCCCCGCCTGCCTCTCCACAGAGCCCCTCATCGCCATCTTTTCGAGACCAGAAATCCAGACCACCCTTCTACAACCTTTCCTCCTCGACAGCGTCTCTCGCCATGGGTCAAGCCAATGGTCGTATGACCGATTCCGAAGCATCTCTTCAGGCTAGTTCTGTCACTTCCCTCCCACCCACGCCTATGCCAGAACATCCCGAGTTCCACCACGCTCCCCACTCTGCCCCTATCCTCTCCACCAACGCATTCTCCAACATGCCGAAAGCTCTTCATCGGAGTCTATCCAAGAGCCGACGCGTCACGCCGCCCAAGTCGAAAGGCCACGACCAAGCTTCGCCTCCGGTGCCTTCGGTACCAGCGATAGGGAGTAGCGGGAAGTCATTGAAGATGCTGGGAAGGCTGGGCGTGGACGAAGAGTTGAAGGCGTTTGAGGCGTTGGTCCTGCAGGCTGAGGCGAGGGCTGGTATAGCCCAACCCCAAGCTCGGTCGATGAAGCGGCACTCCAAGTGCACCACTGTTCCCTCCGTCTTTTCCCACCATACCCCCGCTGCCTCCCTCTCCACCACCGCTCTCAAACTGACCCCACCCCATCTCCGCCCAGCACTCTACCGCCGAAACTCCACCTCTTCTTCGATCCACTCTTCCTCGCGCGGCAGCTTCAAGTCTGCTCGTCGGGCCGAACGGGAATGGCGAGCAAAGGTGGCGGCTATTTCTTCTGGGTTCGGGCCGGGGAACAGTCCTAGTAAAGAAAGGGCCAAGTCGAGTCCGCTGGCGAGGGGTGGACCGGTACCGCCGAGGAGGACCAACACGCCCGGCAAGATGGCTGTACCCCGTCCTTTCGGCACAAGATCCGACTCCTCTCCACCTCCCACCGCAGCAACACTTCTCACGCCTCTCTCTTCCTCCATCCCGTCTCCATCTCCCAACGACTCTCTTACGCCCTTCCCATCCGCCATTCACGATAGGTCCGTGGCCAAGTCCATCCAGGGCCGCAAGTCGTTCGAGACTCTCGGCCACTACCTTCATGTACCGGAGGGGAGGGATAGGCAGGCTAGTGTGCCGAATAGTGTGTCGGTGAAGGAGAACGACGAGCACGCGGAAGAGGAGGATGGCGAGGGCGAGCGAGAAAGGCAGCTCTCCGTAGCCGCCAGTACCCTGCTCGCATTGGAAGGCGCCGGCCGGAGGATCGCAGAGGCAAGGGAAGGTGACGTGAAAGAGTTGTATGTGTTTCAGTTGGAAAAGCCAAAGTCAGAGGTGGAAGAGAAGGATGTGGAAGAGAAGGATGTGGAAGGTGAGTTGAGCGACCGTGCGCACTGTGGCAGAAGCTGACTGGACTTTTCTCCAAATCAGGTTCCGTCACTCAACATGAACCTCTCAAGCGCGCCATCTCACCAACGTCATCCATTCCTTCCCTTCCTACGTCGTTCTCTGCCTCGCCTTCAGCGTCTGCGGCAACGTCACCAAACCCTACCATCTCTCCTCTCCCATCACTCTCTCTTCCCGCCGAGACCGACTCTCATACGGCTATGATCGACGAGCCCCAAACGCCTCTCACCTCCACCGGTCTTTCTCCCGCCTCTCCCTCTTCTCCTCCAACTCCTTACTCCCCAGCTACAGCGTACATCTTGAGCGCGCCTATGGAGAGTCTAGGGTGGAATGAGGCCATGCTGTCAGCGCCGGTGGCTAGTGCGTTGGCATCGTCAGCCCCGGTGGGAAAGACTTCCTTCTCCGAACTGGGCGACATTCGAGAATGTGAGGAGCTCCCGGTCACCCCTGCCACTGCCGGTCATCCCTACACATTCGGCAAACAAGATTCTCCTCTCGCTCCTACGCCTCCCCGGAAAGACACCATCCCGAGGCTTTGGGAAAGCGGTACCCCTACGCAGCGAACCTTTCCTTCGAGGTCTGTCCCCGCTCCTACTTCACTGGGTGCATCTGGGGCGTTTTCGGAATCGGAAAAGGGGTCGACAGCAGTGGTCTATCCTCGCAAGAAACCCGCCGCTTCGACTTCTGCAGCGCCAGCTTCTCGCGCTCTCCAACCCCGCTTCGCCCAAGCTACCGTCCCCTCCTCCACCCCCTCTTCTTCGCGCCCCGCCCCCTCCTCCTCCTCCTCTTGTCGTACTGGCCTTACACCCGCGCAAAAGGTCAAGATGGAAGCTATGGGCAGTCGGCACGCGCCACCGCCGGGCGGGAAGGGGATGAAGAGGGTGGTGGGTGGGATTGATCTGACGCCTGGGATGGGGGTGGACGGGAAGAGGCCGGGGAAGAGTGGATTGCCTAGGAGCGTATGTTGTGCTTGCGTTTGTGAAATAGGGGGGGCTTATGGCTGACGACGATGTGTAGGATCTCGAGAGGTGGCTGCAAGGAACCGCCGGGGCTTGTTCGGCTTGAAGACACGCGGATCATCTTGCGTGCTTGCGGTTTTGTTCATGGTCTTGAGTATAGTCATTTCACTGGCAATGTCTACTAGTTACGATATCTCCCACTTTAACGAAGGAACCTCATAGAAATTTGTATATTCATATTGCGCGAAGGTTGGTTTTGTAAACTGTTGTAGCAATATGCATATTGGCCTAGTCTTTGTATATGCATACGCCCATTACCTCTCGATCCACCGTTTGTATATCACTGGCAAGATTGACGTGAAGGCGCGGCGAAATCCGACACCGACAACGAACAGTACCATTGGGGTGTCTATGGGTCAGAGAAGATCATAAGCGTCATCATGATCTTCGTAACCCCAGCCTTGCTGCTCATCAGGATCATAAGCAGATCCTCCTGTACTCTGATGCTGGAGCATAAAGTCCAAGTCATGCTGGAAGCTCGTCCAGTTGCCGGATACACCCCCGACGCTGGGTGACATCGCTTGGTAAGCGGCACCGTCGTCGTCCATGCCTTGATTGTTCGTATCCCCATTCCCTTCTGCTTGAGTACTTTTCTGACTGTGTGCTACTTGGAGCTGCCGTAGATTCTCCTCAAGATCTACGATACTTCTATCTCTCAATGTATGACCAAAATTAGACCCGGGATTTGCCCCACTTAATCTGTTGATCTCGGTCTGCAGTGCCCTCTTCCTGTTACGGTTGGCCTGCTGTCTCGCCTTGTTGTCTGGTCTTGGTTAGTTATTCTTCCTTCATGATCATGTATATGACCAATCTCATTCCCTGCAACTTGACTCACTACTCAGAATACTCGTAACTTTAGGATCTGCAACACGCAAGAACAGCAATGATGGAGTCAGCCAAAAATCAGAAGAGTTTCTCACTTATCACATACCGCTCTTATCAGCAGTTCGTCCTTTTCGAGTCCTTCGTTGGCTTGGCTGCGAACGTCCACCATTATCTTGATTTGCTGTAGCCAAGGAATCGTCGTACACATGGCCTTCTCCTTCTTCCTCTCCTCCTATGCCAAACGCAGCTTTGTAACATTCATGTGTGTACCAGTCGTTGATCCGATCATTAGTCCGGCGAGGAACCTGACAATACTCACTTGTCAATGCCAATAAACTAGCAGTGCTGATGCCCGCCATGTATGAAATGTGAAGAAGGAGACTCACATCCGAGTCGGGCCAATACGCCTGAGAAGAATTCCATGTAGCTTCTTGTTGGTCTTGCGAAGAGCCAGCGAATGAGCTCATGATTTGTCCGTATATCCTGGATTGTCTGGATTCCAGATTATATGAGAGCGAGCTACGTATATAAGTACCCAGAAAACTACTGTTCGTTTCCCTTTGTTCCGCGTGTGTGAAATGCAGCAGTGCTGACTTTCATGGTATCTCACTCGCCCTTGGGAATGCCGATAGATCCCAGACACACGAGCTCCGACCTACAACAGCTCAATCAAAGGAGACCCCGTGTTCCCCTTCTACTTTCCCTATGGGAATGTGGGAACATCTCAGCGCAAATCAAACTCCTCATACCAGCAGGATCGCCAGAACATGTTAGTATAGTACCGCACAGTTGTTGATGGCGCCCACTAGACTCGACAAGGATGTCATCATGGTTTACACGCTATATACATGAACCAAGAAGAAGAAGATCATAGTGTATCATCTCATCTCCTGGTCTTCATCGCCTCTGGACGTGAACCCAGCTCCTGTCGCAGTGTTGCCAAATAGGAGCCTATAGTCGGTCGCATCATTTTGGAAGTGGGTCGCCCAATCATGAGATTGACCATCAACGCTTGGTGGCATTGACATCTCCGGATCCCCCCTTTCATCATCATTACTGGTGCCATCGTCTCGCTCTTTTGCTTTAGCGGCGCTATCCCCGCTTCCCTCTCCCTGGGAAGTTAGTTCGGATTGCACTTCAAGTAGCCTCAGACTCTGTTCGAGCTCTTTGATACTCTTATATCGTAATTGACCCATTCCATCATCAAGATACTAGCGTTCATCGCGCGGCGTTCCCGCGCGTAATACTTATCGGATTATCAGTCCATTAATCAGAAAAAATATTAATTGCTGGGATTCGGAGTCATGTCTGTATCCATGAAAGATGGTATAAGTCCAATCCGCACAGAGGAGGGAAAGAATTAGGTCGGTATGCATTGAAAATGGTCACCTGCTTTCCCCAACGCTTGGATGGTCCAGAGATGCTTTCCATTCGCCTAATATGCAATCTGCTACTAACATTAC